AACGTACTGTCTCTCTCTATTACAGTTTGTGCTCCAGGAACGTACTGTCTCCCTCTATTACAGTTTGTGCTCTAGGAAAGTACTGTCTCTCTCTATTACAGTTTGTGCTCTAGGAACGTTATGTCTCTCTCTATTACAGTTTGTGCTCTAGGAACGTAATGTCTCTCTCTATTACAGTTTGTGCTCTAGGAACGTAATGTCCCTCTCTATTACAGTTTGTGCTCTAGGAACGTAATGTCTCTCTCTATTACAGTTTGTGCTCTAGGAACGTAATGTCTCTCTTTATTACAGTTTGTGCTCTAGGAACGTACTGCCTCTCTCTATTATAGTTTGTGCTCTAGGAACGTACTGTTTATCTCTATTACAGTCTGTGCTCTAGGAACGTAATGTCCCTCTCTATTACAGTTTGTGCTCTAGGAACGTAATGTCTCTCTCTATTACAGTTTGTGCTGTAGGAACGTAATGTCTCTCTTTATTACAGTTTGTGCTCTAGGAACGTACTGCCTCTCTCTATTATAGTTTGTGCTCTAGGAACGTACTGTTTATCTCTATTACAGTCTGTGCTCTAGGAACGTACTGTCTCTCTCTATTACAGTTTGTGCTCTATGAACGTACTGTCTCTCTCTATTACAGTTTGTGCTCCAGGAACGTACTATCACTCTCTATTACAGTTTGTGCGCTAGGAACATACTATCCCTCTCTACTACAGTCTGTGCTCTAGGAACGTACTGTCTCTCTCTATTACAGTTTGTGCTCCAGGAGCGTACTATCCCTCTCTATTATAGTTTGTGCTACAGGAACGTACTGTCCCTCTCTATTGCAGTTTGTGCTACAGGAACGTACTGTCTCTCTCTATTACAGTTTGTGCTACAGGAACGTATGGTTCAGAATGTAATAATTTCTGTCATTGTTTGAACTATGATAAATGTGATGTTATAACTGGTCAATGTCCTAATGGATGTCAGACAGAATGGTATGGAGGTAGCTGTAATACTAGTAAGTCTAATTCCATTTTTAGGATTAATTCATAAAAAGGATATAATTCTGTTTGATTAACCAATTCCTCTGTAAACGCCTCTTAACCAGCATTTCACGGGTAATATTGTTGCACGACCTCCAGCCAAAATAACGTAATTTACTATAAATACGGATATAGATGTAGTAAACGATGTAACAAGAGACATTGTAAAGGATCACAACACTGTCATCATATAACAGGACAATGTACTGATGGTTGTCAACCCGGTTATAAAGGATATGATTGTATATTGAGTAAGTTTTGAATCGAACTGTCTACACTTATCAATAACAAAATATCAAGAAATCTCAGTCCTATATAGAATTCTTTATATTATATTTCAGGTTGTCCAAATGGTGCCTATGGAGATAAATGTAGTAAACTATGTAACAATAGGCATTGTAAAAGATCACAAGAATGTCATCATATAACAGGACAATGTACTGATGGTTGTCAACCAGGTTATAGAGGATATGATTGTATATTGAGTAAGTTTTGAATCGAACTGTCTACACTTATCAATGATAAAATATCAAGAAATCTCAGTCCTATATAGAATTCTTTATATTATAT